TAAATATAGAGACAAAATAAAAAAATTAAACTATGAAATTAAACTATGTACAAAAGTGTTGACAAAACTTCTGCTGAGCAGGATGTGCAAAAGTTCACAGTATAGACAACATCTGTTATGTGCAGGGATAATACTCCAAGGTGTTACTGTAATGAGGTTGTTGTTGATTGATGAGGCCAGACGCAGAAGAAAAGGCAGGGTGCTGGTCCATCACTGGGGAGGACTGGACAGAAATTCTGGTCCAGATACAGATAAACATGTGATAGGACAGTTACTTTAGATCATACAAGTTCTTTATATTCAAACATGTTAGGTCTCGTGTGTGTGTATAAAAAAAAGTAAGGATATACTGTATATATGAATATGTTAAAATAAATACAGTATTAGGCAGTGGATCCTGAACCTGCTGGTTCTTGATCAAACAGTCTCTTTGTCTTACTCGTAAAAGAAAAGTTAGTGATGAATCTAGCTCGACAACAGCCGCAGGAACAGGCTAAATTCTACTAAACCACTACAACGTCTGTCGACATCATCAATCTATGCCACTTGAAGTGTTTATCAGTACGGTTTGTCATTTGCACTAATGATAATTTTCGCTACAGATCAACATTAGATGTTACTCACTAGTCTAAAAGAAAAGTTGCAGCTCTGCATCAAACCGCATGTCTTTACCCAGAGCTGTCTCCAGCTGTGGAAAAACAAACCAGGATTTACTCGTGTTTTCTAATTTTCTTTGCCGTTGGACGTGGTTTCTTGTTGGAGCGGTCCGTTGGGATGGAGATAAAGATCGTTTTCTGGGCGCTTCAGCTATCTCTGCATTTCCGCGATTTTAGTTGGGAGTTTATTTTTATTTTAAGCTGTAGCGTAACTTCAAACTCTGGAGGAAGCTCTTCCTCTTCGTGGAACTGAGGGCAGACTAGACACTACAGTGACTCACACAGCATTTAGTGTCATAAAGTGGTATGCAGTGGGACGCAGATAGTTGGTTAGCGTGCTCATTTCAGTAGATAACTCTGAAATACAATAGATGGAGGTATTGGTCATGACATATGGCTACTTCACATACTATTGATAGTGTTAGTTCATTTTAAACTAAAATTCTGTCCAGATCTGTCCAGATCTTAGATCTTCTAAATTGTATATAGCAGCAGGTTTCACAGTTTGGCCTTGAAGGTCCTCAGTAAAATAAATAAAACTATTTAAGACTTAATCAACAGAAGCCTAATCCAAAATGTTATGTAGAATGGTGATATCCTGCAATATTAAAGAGTGTACAATAAAATAACAATATTCTATGTGTAAGTTTTATTGTCAGTACAAGTATGTCATCATACTCTGATGATATGTAAATAAGTTTGATATGTGAAAAATGTGTCATTGCATTTCATGTGTATTACATATGTGTGTATTGCTACCTGCCTTGGACCATTTGTAAATGCAACAGAACACATTCATGATGAAGCAGCTGAACCATTGAACTTCATCAATGTGCATTATGCAAACATGGCTTTAGTGGGTTTGTTGCCCCAAAAAACAAAAAAATGAAAAGCAAAACAAATAAAATAAATGGTTTTCTCATCTCAGATGACTGTTATTATGGGTATTTAAACTTTCTTAATGTCTCCCTGTGGAGCAGGAGAGGTATGAGTTTTTCCCCACATTTCCAGTCATACCACACCTGTCCACTGGATGTCCTCTGTCAGTTTCTCTCCTCTGTTGCCCTCCTGACTGTTTTTGTTGTTAGCTGCTCTTCATTTGCTCATCAGCTCCCAAGGGCACAGTTTCCAATATGTTGGTGCCAGACTGGCTGTTGTTACCTGTTTCTGTTGCCTCTGGATTACTTGCTGATCCTCTGAGGTGTTTGCTTTCCTGTGACAACTTGGTCATCATAAATGGCCATTTATACCACCTGTAAAAGTATACATTTCCTGACCTTTTTCACAGCTGACATTATAATGTGTCAGAGTAGGAAAAGCACAGGTAGAAATAATCATTTGAATTACTTTTTTTCAGCATCCTGGTATTGAGCATGCTGGTCCACTGTTACTCTGTCATGGCTCAGTGAGACAGCAGAACAGAGTGGTGCGATTATTAATGATGATGAGTCAAAATGTCTGCTGTGAAAATGGACTGTAACAGGTCAAAATTCTATCCCATTCTAAATGCTTTCCTGAGAAAAGGTATCCTTCTGCAATCCTCGATACATTGGTTGCACACAAGCTAATTCAGTTTATCTCAATGACTTGTAAATGCACAAATAGTTTGGTCTCTGTGAAGCTGGACTATCTCATTAGGTCAGTTTCACTTGGGCCTTCAGATCTGAACTCTGAACTGGGACACAGCTGTAGTAGTAGAGTATGTATTTGGGTCCTGTTTGCTTATGCTGTGTATCTAAACTGTTGCAGGTTACATGTCAAAGGCACATGGAACATGGCTACAGACTTTATGTAAAGTTATGGCAACTGTGGAATACAACTGTAGCACAAATGCAAACAGCACCTTAAGGTCCTGGTTATTATCAGTGAACAAAGGCTTCTACCAAGCAGAAGCTAATGTCCTTGTGCAGGAATTACATTTGCTCATGTTTTACTGGGAGTAGAAATTGTTAAGTGTTCAATGTTCACACATTGTTTACATATAATCAGAATGAATATGTTTCATGTGTGATTTAGGCATTACTGAGACATTTAAGTCAGAGCCTCCAGTAAAACATCTGAGGTAATTCTGCAATTTATTGTGGTTACTAATTAGAGCTAGTTTGAAAATACAGTAACAACCTAATAATTAATCAAAGGATAAGTCAGGTAATATGCTATGTTTTTCTTCTAGAGTCTAACCTGGAAAGATCTTATGGGAGGCACAATAATATATTGACTGGAAGAAAATATAAATATGTAACTTAAAGTGTCGACTAAATAACAAAGTATTTTGTTAGCTAATTATAATCAATAGTTCAGTAAGTCAGTGTCCAAGAGTCCACAGTCCAAGATTGTGTACTGTAAAAGTTAAGTGAAATTTTCTAAGACTGGTTTCAGGTTTTGGCGGTATCATTTTATGTCCACAATAGAATACAATAAATAATCTGGTTTGATTATCAGTGACATAACACCTTGTATTAGCTAATACTAAATGTTCACTGAGTGAAATTTTTCACTCTGTCTGGCATCTGCTATCTCATGCTAAAGTATGTTGCTAATATCTCAAATAGGCTACAAGACTGAAACTTGTTGAACTGCTTCACCATACTTCAGCGCTTCACCTACATAAAAATGGTGGTGATAGCACCATGTAGTGAGAAATTAGGTAACAAATATTGCGAAATGTTTTGAGTGCTATTACGGCAATCGCAAGGCATAGAAGAAAAAGACTAGGTCAAAATCTAGTATATGGCTGGACTGCCTATGTTCAAATCCTGATTTTATAACTGCAACATTATCTGACAAAATCACCTAACACTAAAGACTGAGGTGTGATTTTGGCTATATTTATTTATAAAATGATAAGTCAGAAAGAAAATTAGACAACAGACTATCTTTCTTTTTTTTCAAGTTATTTATTCAGGCTTTTGCCTTTATTACAGTCATATTGAAAGAAAGACTGGAAAATTGGGGAGCGTTAGAGAGAGGATGACATGCAGCAAAGAACCACTGGGGTGCCCTGAGACACAATATCTTTCTTATTTTGTCTCTCACACAGAACAAAGCCTCTGTCTGGGATCCACAGTAGTTAAGCCATTATTTACTTCCAACTGCAGAATGTAACAGACTTTTATTAGAGGCATGTCTTAATGTCTTTATGTCCTTTTTAATAAATAAAAGGAGGATTCCAGACAACTAGCATGCGGACCTGTTATGCACTGGGAATTGTGACCCTTTTTCCATATCTTCAAGATCCATAATCAAAAAATGGACATGTAAGTTTTAATGTCTCCAAAAAACTGTGTTGTTGTCGTTCTTATGACATTTGACCATATTTCTGCTCAATATTTGTAATGTTTTTAATTGTGTTTTTGGTGTGCATCGGAAGACAGCCCCTCCACCTCAGCATCAGTGAGCAAAAGAAAAAAATCCAAAGATTCTTCATTGTTGTGGACCAGAAAGCTATCCCATTGCAATTCTCTGTTGTCGTGGCTGCTTTTGATAGACTTTTCAAAGTTTACTATGTCCTTAGTCTCTCTTATGATGAAGCTCTTTCCAGTTTCTACACTTTCATCCAAACGACGGTGTACAACATCAGTGTTGGAAATGCAAAAGAAAGTCCTACAAGCTTCTGGTATTTCTGAAAGCACTGTCCAGGCAATAGTTTGTTCAGTGGAGATGGTTGTCAATTTACAATAAAACTTTTCCTGCCTCTCTCTACAATGCTATCAATAAAGGCATAAAAAAAAGCCCAAAACTTCACAATCAACTGCAAAGCCCATCTTACACTGGTTAAAAAAGACACTGTTAAGGTTTTTATTGGAGTGCGCAGTCCTCTACTGTGTATGGAGGATAAGCAGAACATACTCGGATCATCTTTTGCATCTTGGCATATTTATTTAATAATAAAGTGCGGACTGATGCGGACGGTTGTGTTGTCCTCTCATCATCATGGCTCACACAGAGCAACTGGCGCTGACTGGGAGCGTGGTGACATCATGTACAGTACTGTACGTACCGTAAACCGTATACATCAGTCTAACATAACACACTTATTGAAATGAAAATTTTCGAGATTGCCATTCTAAAGGTGAATTGACTCAGCCTGCATAATGTCTTACCTAAGGCTCCACTTTGTTCCAAGATACTGATATTGAGATTCTGTCGGTTTATTGCAGACTGTGTAATGTGTGAATGCCACGCTGTTGACGGAGGTTGTTGTAGCGTATTGTTGTACTGTTTCGTGAATGCCCCAAAGCTCTATGCTTCCGCAACGGCATATCAGGCTGTGTGGCTCTGGAATGAGAAAACATGTAGTTCTGCTTTTGGCTGTAGCCTTTCCCTTAGTTTGCTGACCTTCACCAACGAACGGAGTAGCCATTTTCTGGCAGCAAGCAAAAGCCCCGGAGAACTCCCTCCCCCTCCTTCTCCTCCCCTGTCGTCACTCTCTTCCCTGTGGGCTGTCACCTGCGCTGTCTCACTGAGAGACGTAGCCTACTTTGGTATGTTTCGGACTTTCCGCCGCTCCTCCAAACAAGAGTGGCATATCTGTGGGATTTATTTGTTCAGCTCAGACCGACTTCAGCTCCTCATTTCTTGAAGTTCACCAGAGGTATCCACAAACCCTGAAAGCTACTTTATAAGGATGGATTCGGCTGCTTCCCTGTTGCTGGTCTTCGTGAGCATCGAGACGCTTCTTCAAGGTAAGCTATGTTCATGATGTTATAGGAAAAGGTTTCGGGAAGAGGCTGCGCTCTTCTCATGTGGTTTTTACACACGGACAGGCAATACCGTAGTCATCTCATGTGATTTTACTTCTAACAAAGATACCGCTTAGCTGTAATATAAAAACCTGCAGGTTCCAGCACCTTACCGCTCTTATTTTGTAACTGTGTAATACTAATACACGGGCTTATTCATACTAGTTCATATTCATATACTACAGTGACCGAATAAACTGTACCTGACACGTTGAAAAATCCATCATTGGTTTCGACGGTTTTCCCCTAAATAACAATGCAGCCATTTATCATTTTAAAAAAGTGTTTTGAATAGACTTCACCCTCATATTAACTTATCATATGAGTATACCTATGAGTTCATAATTACTTTTGTTAACATTGACTACTGAGTAAATCCATTCCTGTAACTGAACAGGAGACTAAGTTGCAGATGATTTACCTTCCACCAGCCTTCCAAGCAATTATTTTTTAAGAAAACCAACTCCCTGCCAAAAAAACAAAGCCCAGGTCCCCCTTTTGACTTCCTGGGTTGAAAATTTCGTCACTGCTATCAGATCATTTGCTTGTAATTAGGGATATGGTTGTTTAAATTTAGTACCCATGCCTTTGTTCGTGTGTGTTAGTTTGCCTCTGTGTGTGTGAGTTTGTCATTGTTTGAATGGGCCAATAAGAAGCCATAAATAGCCTAACGCTGTCTTATACATGTAATGACTTTTGTCACAGGATAATTTTTCCCTCCCAGGTCTAAATGCTTTAGAATAATACTTGGAAATGAGATTGTCACTCGTTTATTTCTTTCTTCTTTCTTATTGCGTAGAATAGTAGTACTTTGATAGAGAAATTGAATATTCATCATACTTTAAAGAGACCCCTGGGGTCTGTGAAGCTCTATTTTGGGACTCAGTGTTTTAGGCCTGTATAATTTCTGAGGCTGATTGTGGCTTGTCTTGGTGAGAAAACAAGGGCTGGGCTTTGAAAGAGTTCAGACTCATTAAACTGTCAGCACCACTGACTCCACTGACATTTTCTTGTGTCACTCAGGCAGGATAAGTCAGAATAAATGTATAATGTGTATGATAATGTGTTTTTTCCTCTCAACTCTTATCTCTGAGTTGAATCTGCATCACTGGCCACCTCTTGCTGTTCACGGGGCTGTTCTTTGTCAAAGCGACTGGAGGACAGGCAGCTTGTTTGATTGCTGCATGTGTTTTGGAGGGATGGAGGGGGGATGACGTGACACAGCCAGGGGCTCCATCTCCATCACTAGATGCTATCTGGCCTGTCTCTGGATCAGTAACTTCACAGGAGAAGGGAATTCATATTTTGTTTTATTCATTTATTTTTGGTCACATTTCCTTCAATCTGAAATCCATATTTATCCTCCACATAATGACAGATATCAGCAGAGTAGATAGCAACTGAAGTCAGTTTCCATCTGGATCTGTAGCTTTCTTCACATCAAAGAGGGAATGTTTTCAAAGGGACTTTCAAACTCTGATGTTTGAAGCCAAGGGAGGTTTTTCAGGGTGACTTCAGAGTGGTAAGCTGCCAGCAGAAATATGAGGGGTTACAGTGTGTTGAAAACAAATGTGTAGATGAACAGTAAACAGCCATCATTAGTGACAGAGAAAGGCATTTTAAGGTCTTGAATATGCTCCCTTGCTTATATAGTTGTTCTTATGATACTTCCAGTCCTCTCGGAGTTAACTTGGAGGAGTACATGTGCAATTGGTGCCTTGTAGTAGTGGTGGACACAACATATTAGAGGGTACCTGGATGTCCGCACAGGGCCTCATGTGCACCCCCTGTGGATGCAATTTAAGTCGCCTGGACCCTGGCAGACCCTCGCATAGTCACGGATGCAGAAAGTATAACACTAGCTCATGACAGAGGTATTTTTAGGTATTTTGTATTTAAGAGTGTTACTAACAGTGCCTCCTGTAGATAACAGGGGAGTTTCAGGGCTTTGTTTTGCCCGTTATGATGGAAAGGAGGCTCAAATATTAAGACCGCCTTTAGCACTCCATGAAAAAATGCAGCCCCCAAATTGTCATTTGTCTGGTCCCCCTCTGTTGACACAGTGGAGATGTCAGTGTCAAGGGATCCGGCAGGAAAAAATATAGGCTTGTGTGTTGAAAAAAGTTGAATGTAGATCAACTTTTGCCGCAAGAAAATGCGGCCTAATGTTATTCAGCAAAGCGCTGCAGTGGCCATTTATGTACATGCAAGTACACATTCCTGATTAGATTAACATCATATATCTACTGCCTTGTGACTGTTGTAATGAAAGGTAAAATAATTGTCATTGTTCTACTTTTCTATGGTAAAATTCCCTCATATTCCAAAGCTCCTTTGTATTTGGTCTGAACACCTACCAGGACAATCAGAACTCCATAATAGAGAGCTGAAGCCCGGAAGTGACCTTATTTCCACTAATCTCAGCCAGACTGTGTAGACCTACTGTATCTTTCTTTCATTTTTGTGTCTTAAAAGCTGGAAAGTAATATTGTGGTTTTCTTTGCTTCATTGTGGTTAAAATTGCAAGGAGCTGTCATTTTACTGTCCAGTGCAGCAGTAGAGAGGTGGTGAATTTTTAACTACAATATGTGCATGTTTATGCGTTTCAGAAAGATTATTAACAGAAACTTTCAATGGCAAAGCACAGGTATAACTGAAAGCTAGTTGCCAGAAACTAACTGGAGGGCTTTGGCTGTTTGTGGCAAGTCAGATTTGTTTTCACTCTTTTCATGTTTCTGGTATCTCAAAACAAAACAAACAACAAAGGGGGCTCAAAAAAAGCTCAATAAAAGTTAAGTTTGAAAATAAAATGTAACTTTAAAGTATTATATTATTTCTTGAAGAGAAAATTTTCTTCAGTGTAGTGGGGAGAAATGTTGTTAAAAAACTCTTGTAGACTTTTTTAGAAGTTGTGATACATGCTAGATATTTATAAACAACCAGTTAATAAAAGACTCTACAAAACTGCTAAATTGATGCATTGCCAGATCAACAGTTAATCCTTCCAATGGCATGATGTGTCTCCATTTTATTACAAGAGCATCATTTAAATTTCCATTTTTTCATTTGAATCACAGCACTTTTCCCATTACAGTAGTGTTGAGCTTTGATCCTTTTTGAGCACAGATTATTATTCATTCCAGTCAGGCTCTAAGTATGTTCCACACAGGTGCATGTGCTTTCAAATGGAGCTAAGTACCGAATGATATAGGTTGTTGAGGGGAGCTTCACCTGTGTATGTATTATAAGTACACTGACGCTCCCGTCAACCAAACGGATCTCTTAAATTAACTAAAAAATAGGGTCAAAACTGCTCAGTCAGATATGCTAATAGTTGTGGTATGCAGTTGCACTTTAAGTTGCTTGGGGGACAGGATGGTTTGAAATGCTCCATCTGCCCCGACATGTGAAACTGCTGGTCTTTTTCTTGAGGGAAAATACCTTGGTGGGGGGACGGGAGGGATGGTGGGTGGATTTTTGAAGATTGTGGCGGGGGTTGGAGGGGGTTGATGGGCGGGGGATTTTGGAGTGGGGGGTGGGGTTCAGGTGTGTCTCAAAACAGCCCATGAGGCTATTGTGATGTAAAAGGGTACAGAGGTCTACAAGGTTCCTCTATAGGTTAAGACAAGTCCACCTCCCATGAGCTGCTGGTGAAATAATCTGTGAATGTGGTCTAGATAAATGTAAGGGTGTTTTATTTAACTTCTGAAAAGGAGACATTTGGGAGAAACAAGGCTTTCTCCTCCAACAGTGATGTCATCACTGTTGATTTGCCCTCCCAGTCCCTTTTGTCAAGGTGAGAAGCATATCATCAGGCTGTGTGTTGGTCAGGACAGTGGAATTTCCCAAACTCGCACAACAAAAAATTCACCTTACTCACCCAAAGGTCCAAGAACAAGCAGCAGCAGCAGTATAAGAATGAGAAGCATTCAAAAGTGAAACTAAATGACATCATGGGTAAACCCACACACACACGTACACACACACACACGTGCTAACATACACATAGACACTCACACACACACACACACACACACACACACACATTGTATTCACATGAAACAGTATGACTCACCATTAGCGTTTTCCCTCTGTGGTGAGTGTCAGATTGTTCTCATCTTGTAATAGTTTCATGGTGAAAGTCATGTGACAGGTCCAGGGAAACATGACTGTATCAAAAGCAGAAGTTAAGAAGGCAGCATTTACAGGTGAGATAAAGAAAAAAAAATACTGAAAAGCCACAAGCTGGGGGTTTTGGTAGGGGAAGTTGGTGTAGCAGAGCACAAACCCCTAAAAATCCTTTTACACTAAAGCACCATGACAGCGTGAAGAAGAATTATACTTTTAAAGTGCCAGCGTGCCTGAACCAACACTTAAGCTGGGGATACTCTGTACGATTTTAGCCGGTTTTTGACCTGATTTTCATTTTCATGGCCAAATTTCATCTTCGTCGGGCGTCATTTGTTGTGAAGTGTACAGGGGGGAGTGAGGACCGATCATCTGCTCCTGAACGGCCGTCGGTCGGTCGGATGAATCCTCCTTTTTTTACGTTTTGTCATGCCCAAGAAATTATGTTAAGTTACTTTTGTGTTGTCCTGTCTTTATGCTGTCTCGTGACTTCCTGTTTTATTTTGAAATCTTACTTCCCTCTTGTTTCAGATAACTTGCTCCTTCCCCCCCGTGTGTTTCCCGCCAGTCTGATTGCCTGCCACTCCCTGATTGTCTCCACCTGTGTCCCCTTACCTTGTGCTTATTTAGAGTCTGTGTCTCCCTTTGTCCTGTGCTACTTCGTCTTGTTGGATACAGAGAGCCAAGCCATTCCTCGCCTTGAGTCCAAGTCACGTCAGGTTTTTTGAGTTCTTGTTTTGGCCTTGTTATTCCGTCACGCAATTGTTTTCCTCTATCAAGAGGGATTTTTGTTTGTACTTTGCCTAGTAGTTTTT